CTATAGCTGTCACTGGAGCTGAGAGCCGGCTCCGGCTCTGAGGCCATAGCCGGCTGAAAGGTATCTGGGTTTTTTTAGATTCTATAATTGAAACTCTGTTGCCATAACTGGCCCTGGCTGAAAGCAGGTTTCTGGAGCTTGTTTAGGTTCTATAATTGCAACATGGTTGCATCCAGAGCTCAGAAGCCAGCAGCAGCAGGTGGGGAACCTTGGCTTCCTTCATCACTGGATCAAGCAAGCCTCCTGTTCGCTTCAGCTGCCTGGCTGCCGGCCTCCATCTTAGCTGGCAGTTAATTTGCATATCTCGCTAATTAGCCAATGGGAAGGGTAGCGAAGTTACAGTTAATTACCATGTTTCTCTATTAGATAGGACTAGAGGCCCGGTGCACAAAATTCATGCACTGGGGATGGGTGGGGGGTCCCTTAGCCCGGCCTGTGCCCTCTCGCAGTCCGGAACCCCCTCCCTCCTTACCACCCAACTGCTTGCTGCTTCCGACTGCTTGGCTTGCTGCCCCTTACTGCTGCCACAAAGGCTCCCGCTGCTGCACTCGCCAGCTGTCCTGGCCCCTGCTGTGGGTCAGAGCTCCTCTGCTAAAGCAAAGGTTTGGGTTCCACACTGCCAGGGCACCTACTTAGCTTCGGGCTGATCCCCAGTTGGGGCTGACTGCTGCTCAGGAAGTGACTGAGGACCGTGTGCTCTAGTTATTCGGTGGGGAGTTGTGGTTCCATTGCCAACCTGGCCCACTCTGATCCCCAATACCCCCGGCTCCTACATCAAGGACGGTTTCAACTATGGCAGCTGCGTGGCCTCCGCCAGTGTACACATCCGCATGGGTAGGTCACCCTCTCCGTGGCTCACCAGGCGTGGCTGCTGCACAGTCGCCCCAGAGGCAGATTTCCGGGTTCTCAGGGAGAGCGCCCTCCACGCCAGACTCCGAGGGAGAGCTGGATTGAAGGGAAAGCACTTCGCCTGGAGCAGAGCACCCGTCCTGTGCAGGGCTCGCAGGGTTTGTGTCTCTGATCCGGCCCTCAGCAGCCCCAGTGCCGAGGTGGGGGGCTTTGGGGCTGCTGATGCCAGACTCCCCCTGCAGGCTTGTGTCTCCGATCCTGCCCCCAGCAGCCCCAGCACTGTGGTTGCAGGGCTTGGTGCTGCTGGGTTCAGGGCCCCCCTGCGGGTTTGTGCCTCTGAT